ATATATATATATATATATATATATATTCAATAATGTAGAGAGATAAAAAAATCTGTTCGGATTCGTAAAGACCAAAAGGTATGCGAAATACGTGCAAGGGAATCAATGTATTTTAAGCAAAGTATTACCTTGGCGAGGCCGGTGATTTTGTATGATCATGAGTTCATTTGAAAAATTAGTGGCTGTTTAATTCGCGATGATTGTAGAAACTAACGAGAGGCTTTCTTCAAGGATCGGCAAAGATCGCGTGACGGTCTACGGAAGCTTCGGCCACGTTCTCTCATTCTACCTTGTTGTTCTTGCTTTTCGACGTCGTATCTCCTGCATTCCCGTTCTGCTTTTTTTCCGCTCGCCAATTCGACCAATAGACCCTCAGAGAACCCGCTCCATAATCCATGCACGCACCAGAGACCTGTCTTCCCATCGAATCGATGGAAAGGAAAAGGAACCTTCGCCTCCTTTACGTACGTTAAATTCCGCGAATTCTTTCCTTAATTTCAGCCTTCATATACCTCGTCTGAACTATAACTGTATTCTCCACTTGGTTATGACGTTTATTCTTCGATGGGTATGTCTCTTTTAAACGGCGACAGAGTGTGCCTCTTTGAAAATTTTCATTCTTCTGCTTCTGTTTCTACTTTATTTGCTGCAAAGCGATAAATTGCTATTTATGGCGTAGTTTCGTAGTTGGCGAAGGACGTTGAATCTAATGCTGTTCAATTTCATCCGAAGATTAGTGGATTCATTAATGAGCAAGTTTACGATAAATATCAATATCTTAATAATATTATATTTCGAAATATTATATGAGGAAAAAACTAGTAAATTACTAATAAAATTTAACGTTTTACTCTGTTTTACTTTGTAATTTTTATTTATTTTACTTATAAATTTAACTTTATATTTATATATATATATATATATATTTATTTATTTATTTATTTATTTCTTTTTACTCTGTTTCACTTTGTAATTTTCATTTATTTTACTTATAAATTTAACTTTATATTTATATATATTTATTTATTATTTTTTCAATAAATGAAAAGATCAACATCAAGTAAGTAAATGGAAAGTAAAATCATCTTTTCAAATTTTTGCTATCAAAATTGATGGTTCTGGTTAGTTTTTCACTTGAGTTTTCCGTAAATACTTAGTAGATAAGTGTAAAAGATAACGTCTTTTATATTTTAGATTTTCTTGAATTATTATTAAAAAATGTAGAAATATAATATTATTATATTTCTACATTTTTTATATCATATTTAATCATTAAAAAAAAAAAACAAAAATTTAGTTTTATAAATTGTAATCACCACAGATGATAGAATTCATATACCTCATCTGATGCTAAAATAAGATGTATGAATTTTTATCAATTAAACAAAATAAAATTGTCATATT